TTTTTTTTTTTTTTAATTGGATATTTTTGGGTATTAATAACAAAAAAAAGAGATCAGGGAACATGAGCTTTTGGGTTATTTTGGTCCCAAGATATTCAGCAAAATTAAAGGGGAGTCGGTTTCAAACAAAAAGGGKAGTAGTAATAGCAGTTCCATAATAGGATGAAAGTACTTTTTTATCAGTGAAAAATGAAAATACTTATTAATTTTCGTGGTTGTTGTGTATGCTTTCAGGATTGACAGAGAAGATCTCTGCTGGGGGTTTCTTGAAGCAAAAACTGTTTAATATTGCATACTTATGGTAAGTTCCATGGGACCAAATTCTCACATGAGGATTGAATAGTCTGGTAAAAGACTGCTTTTGTATGTATTTGTACTGTACATATTTGTATCTGTACTCTTTCCAAACTGAGCCTAAAGATAGAATGTAACCACTATATTACCATCAGCCATTGATGGCCAAATCATTCCAATTCAATCCCTGACAGCACAGAATGATGAGTATCCCTAAACTCCTTATTTTCCATAATCCATGATGTCATTGTTCCATTAACATTCTTCAAGGCTATCTCCTCCTGAGCAGCTTTAATTTCAAAAGTTCTGTTTCTTTCCGTCCATATTGTCCAAACTACTGTCTACTGCTGCTGGAACAGTCTGTGATACCAGTGTCCCTTTTGTTTATTAGCCCCTTTACAATATCTCCAACACTTCCTTGACTGTTATAGGAAAGACCCCACTTAAGTTGAAGGATCTAATTAAGTGCAACCACAGTTTATAATAACTGTGCAATGCATGAATAAATTTTGTGGACTCCAGATCCCAGTTCTAGAAGCTGCATCCTGTCATAGAAATCTCCATACTTAGCATTTGTCCAGTGTTTCTATCCATAACATGAAAGCTATTTTAGAAGGAGCCTGGGTTTCAAGATGATTCTGTATGGAAATGTACTGTTGCTGTCAGGATTCAAGACCCTACAATGATCTTACTGAGAAATCACTAATGCTTCCCCATTTCCAAATGGTTCTTAATGAGAATTTACTGATGCTGTCCTATTTCAAAGATCTTTGKCATTTGCAACAATACTAGTGTTCTGCTTTCGAAGCTTAATAAGAAGGTTTGCCACTTCACCGACCTCCCAATCCTGTTAATTCCTTTGGATGTGAGGTTTCCAAATTATTCTTCCATCATTTCACATATTCCTCTTTGTTGACTGCCATAGTAAACGGGTTTGTAAACAATTAAACATTAGTGCCAATTGCCAAAAGTATAGTATCACGCTATCAGCACCATGTCATGGGGCTAGTCGTTGGGGCCCCGTGCAGCACTCGAATGCGACGRGTAAGCCTAGGCAACAAGCAACAACACAAGAAAAGGCAACAAATATGGCACACAAATTAGACAAAAAGCAACTTGTATTGCATTAATGGATGGCAAGCATAAGCACACAATTCAGTGTCGAGGGGATCTCATGCTTAACCTTTACATGCTCTTGATTCACTCGACTACCTATCTCCCCTCAAAGAGTACGTTAAGTTTTTGGGGGAATGACAATAGGAAACATAAAAAAGGTGAAAAATCATACTATAGAATTACAGTAATGCCATTGGCAATCCCCCCATACAAAATCATGCAATGCCCCACCCAAGACACACACTTGGACATTCGGATGGCAGGCTGTGGGCATGTTGAAGGCACTTGATGGCACGACAAATTGGTCACTTGTGACAGTCTCCCCCACTCAATTCGATCTTCGTCCTTGAAGATCAACTTCTGCTTGTGGCGTGAGACTACTGTTGGTGAAGGTTTCTTCAGCGGCTCCACGAGCTTCTTCTCTTCCAAGGCTTGGGCAAGTGCTGGGGTGATGGGATTGAAGGTTTATGAGGCGTTGGGGAGACCTAAGGCTAGATGTTAGATTAAATCCTTGGCTAGCGGCTTGAAGGTATGTCAAATGAGGCCTAGGTTGGCTTGCACTACTAGCTAAGGGAAGGATTGGTGCAAAATGTGAGTTTGGATTAAGAGGGGGTTGGATGTAGAGGGGTGTTTCCCAAGGTTATCTCCTCACATGGTTACTATATGGGTTAGATGAAGGCCGAGTGTTGGAATGATCCCTAACGAGTTGGGGTGGCACTCTCTTCCCATTATGGTAGGTAAATTGGGTGTTGGAGTTGGCCTTGGGTCTTCCCTTAGGCCCATCAATTGCGGGCGCTTGCGGCTTTTGCTGCGAAGTCAGCTTCTGCTGATGTTGAGGCTGATGTCGATGCTGATGTTGGTGCTGGCGCAGGAAATGGAACAGTTTTGGGGGAGACTTCTTCCCACAAATAGATTGATGGGTCCTTTCCATGGTCCAACTTGGGGTTCTACTCCTCGAGCCATGCCCTCTACTGCTTTGGCCCTTGAGTTGATAGCCTTGACCCACCCTGTTTGTTTGGTGGTGGTCAAACTGAGTCGCTTTGCCTCCGCAAGAGAAATGAAGTTATGGGTGGCCCCAGTGTCCACCAAGGCTTGGGTCGGCCTTCCACCGAGGGTGATGTCCACATAATTCAGCCCCTTGTGGGCTTTGGTGGGCTGCTTGGATGTGGCCTCTTTCTTAACCATGGCGTTTAAAAATTGAAGGGCGCCTACTCTTGGCACCATTGTGGTTTTCTCCTCATCACTCTCTTCATCATCATTGAGTTTGGTGATGAGGGCATTGATTTTCTTCYGCACAGGATAGTCGCTAGTCCAATGCTTTCCATTGCAAATGTAACAAGGTGCGGGAATAGTTGGTCTCCTGGTGTATCGGTGGCCTTGATAGCTTTGGGCTCCTTGTGGCTTCTTCCCTTGTTGGTGATTGATGGGCTTGTC